TTTAAAAACCCTGTTGGAAGCCAGAGGACGAGGAGGACATAGCGTTAGCACGATCAAGTAATTCCCTTATTTGACCAATCTGATTGGAAAAGTCCTGGTTAGGGGGGCTCGGAGTAGCAGCTACGGGTGCAGGAGCAGATGTTGGGGTCGAGGACGCGATTTGGACGGATTCGTTTGGGAATAGGGAGAATGGTGCGGGTCCCGTAGCGGATATCTGTTGGCGTCGAGGTTGCTGGCGTCGGCCTCGGTCTCGTCCGAGTCCCATGAATTTGTCTTGGCAGACTGCTTCCAGATGTCCTCGACGTCCACAGTAGCGGCAGGTGGTTTCTCGGTGTGGGCAGTTTTGCTTGACATGACCTTGGGCACCGCAGCCGAAGCATCGTCCTCGCATGCGAGCTAGGAATGCTTCCCTAGTATTCCCATTACTGGTGTGGGTTGCATCAATGTCCATAGCGTGGGGGTCAGCAGGGGTAGTATGAGCGGTATGCGTGGGAGGGTATCCAGAGTTCCGGCCAGTCATGGTGGGATCGTGCAGGTAGACATCCACCGATATGGCCCGTTTGATTGCCTCCTTCAGAGTCGGAGCAATTCCTTGGGCAATGTTTACGGTGATGAGGTGTTGTCGGATCTCTGGGAGTAATGCAGTGAAGAAACGTTCCCGCAAGTCAATATCAGACATTTCAGTCCGATCTCCGATATCCTTGAACTTCTGAGCGAATTCCGCAACTGTCTGTCCTTTACTTTGCCTGAGATTCTTGATCTCGCTACGGGCTTCCATACCTGGGTCCATTGGTTCAAACCGTTGGCTAAATTCCTTCAGAAACGCCTCCCAATTTCCTCCGAAAGGGGGATTTTCCGCATTGAAATGTAGCAGATGGGGAGTTGCCCAATCTCCGGCACTTTCTGTGAAGAAGCCCAAGGCGGACTTGATGAGTTTTACCTGGCTTTTGGCGAGATCCGGTTGTTCTGACGCCCAATTCTGGAACTGAGCCATGAAGCGACGGGCTTCAGCGCCATCTTTACCCTTGAAAACCTCGGGTTTGTTCATGCTTGACTTGGAGGATGAGCGTTCCTCCATAGCTGTAGCAAGGTTAGCTACTTGTCTGATGAGCTGAGCCATGAGATCGTCCGCAGAGGTGTTTGGGGCAGGCGGGATAGGAGTCGACATGATGGGAGTAGGCAATCGGGGCTGAGGAATCGGCAGGAAGGTTATATTGCTCACAGTGAGTGGCTCTCGGATTGAGTTCGAAAGGGCGTTGGGGCAAGGTTGAGACTGGCAATCGCACCAAGTATCGTCGTTGTTATGGGCGTGAGCTTGGTCTCTGGGGTCAAGTGCGTGCGGGAGTGCGGAGCAGTCTATACTGGCAACAGGTGTTTCAGAGTCGGGCGGAACTGGGGAAGACGTGGTGTCTATAGACCCTGCAAGGACAACCTTATCGGTAGGCTGTCAGTGCAGTAATGGATCTTGACCTAATGTCACGAAGCGGCAGAGGCGGAGTGACTAACGGAGCGGGAAAGCGGAGCGACTAAGCAGAACGGTGAGGCGGAGCAACTGGACAAGGCAACAAGGCGGAGCGACTAAGCAGAACGGCAGCAGACTGGTCCCAGATAATGACAGAGATATATTGAGTATCGTAGTCATAGGTAATAATAAGTAAGCACATACCTGGTCCCAGATAATGACAGAGAGGTCAAGATAAGGGACCAGGCTGTGGAGGGTTGGCTATATATACATAATCCGGTCTGCGAGAAACAACGATGTAATACTGTACAGTTTAGGAACAAGGAAGGTGGCGGAAGCCAATAGAAGGAGAAGATGGGTCAGGTGGATCAGTAATCGATGGATCAGTAATCGATGGGGGTTTGACAGTGATGGGATGATGTATCGTACAAGTAAAGGCGTCGAGACGGTGAGAAAAGGAAAATGATAGGGGCTGCGTACTTTATGACACTAACCATTCGTTATCCCTCGTAGGATAACTCATAGCATGTGCCTGTAAGCCAGGTGGACCCTTCTTGCTGGAACGCACAGTATTTTTCTGCGGGCAGTTCCGACTAAAGTGTCCCTTTTCACCACAACCATAGCATAGCTCTTGCGCATCATACTGCGCTTTCTTCTCATCAGATAACTGCACCTTCGGGGTGAAGTCCTTAGGCCCTCCATTTGCAGGCTTCCTTTGGAATGAAGATGAACGATTTATCTTTGGATTGGAGGAATCTTTGTTCTTAGATCTTTCATTCAGATTATGATTATTCCGGCCTTGGTAAGTAAAAGGTTTGTTATCCTTCCACTTCCGTTTAAACTTCTTCGATGAGTTCTGATTCGATTGCTGACCCTGAGAATCCAAGTGCTCATTCTGATGATTAGCTTTAGACTTATTCTTCGAACGAACTCCAAGCTCATTTTCTAAATCGGCCATTTCAATGAGCTCAGCTTCCTGGACTATCTTCTCCCAGGTATGAACTTCCTTGTTCAATCTTGTGCGATGCAACTCATAACGCATCTTAGGATTGAATCCATCCCAGAGTTTTATAACACGTTCGCGTTTACTTGTTGCGCCGACCATTGAAAACAGATTGCTTAAATCAAAGGTATACTCTGATACCGAACGATCATTCTGGTAACAACGTTTAATCTTTTCACGTTGTAGACTACGATAGTTCAATGGGAAACAAAAATTGAACAGCTCTTCGAAGAAATCCTTCAATTTCCACTGCTCGTGGTTCTTTGAGACTTTCTGGGTAAAGAAGGAATGTGCCTTTCCCGTTAAGTAATGGGATAATAGAAAGACTCGCTCATCTTCAGGAACTTGTCCCTCTTTGCAGTATTGTAAGCCTTCAAGAACAAAACGATGATATTTCTCTGCATCGGCAGAGCCATCATACTCATTCAGGGGAATCGGTTTGATCAAACATTTGGATGCTTTTGCCCGCTTAGCTCGCTGATGCTTCTTGTCTTTATGTTTGCCTTTTTGGCTTCTGCTAGGGCGACGGCTCTTACGATGTTTACTTTTCTGCGGCTCAGTATCTTCTGAACTGTTGTCAGTCAAATCCGAATCCGAATCTGAATCCCTATCACTTGAGGAACTATTACTGGAGCTAGATGGTGAAGAGTCCGATGATTCCGACTCTTCATCTGAGCTACCGCTCGACTCAGAGTCAGGCATATGGCTCTTCCTTCCAGTAAATGGGCTCCCCCTGTATTTAGATGCTTTGACCTTTGACTTTGCATCCCTTTTTAATACCTTAGACAGGAAACTATCCTGCGGGAGTTGGTCTATTGGCTGGATAGATCCTCGGTGGCCATGCTGCTCAGTGGAAGCTAGAGCCCGACCCTGTACCGCAATTTTCAACTTGCTTGAGTGTCGTGAGGATACTGGTTTAACGGTATCTTCGGTAGCCTTCTTGGAAGTCTTTGCCTTGGCCCTATTTCTCTTGGGGGCCTTATGAACTTCCTCTTCTGAGGAAGAAGAATTCTCTTCTGACTTCAAGTCAGTCTCAGCTCGGACTCGTTTGACATTCCGAGTTCTGACCTTGTGAGAGCCATTAACTCGCCCGTGGCGGCGAGAAGATTTCTGGCTCGATTCGTCTGCACTAAGCTCATCCTTCGGCTCTGATGCCTTGACTTTGGCATCACGGACTTCATTCCAAATTGTAAGTGCAGCTTGTTGAGCTTCAATGTCTAGCTCTTCATCACTAACATCTTCATTATTATCAGTGAATTTCCCTTTGGCCACGTATGATGGACCTGCAATAGGAGAAGCAAATTCATTGTGTGCACTCTGCTTCACCTTCTCCGCTCTCTTGCAGATAGATTCTTTCTGGGCAGGGGTGAGTGTCTTCTCAGCCTCCTTGATCATGTTAACTTGGTCTTGGGATAAGTCAGTGGGTTTGATTATGCCCTTTCGAAGTTTAATGGTCTTAAGGTTCTCAAGGCTTCTTGCCCTTCGAGGTTGGACTACTGTCCACGGTCCTTGACCGTCGTCGTCTTCTGACTGAGAAGACTCAGAAATATCGTCTATATTTCCTGTTGATTTATATCCTTCAGCTGTTGTACTAATTACATTGGTACTATCCTTTGCTACACTGGTAGCAATAGGACCATTCTTATCTACACTGGTAGACTTGGCTTGCTCTCGCTCTGGGAGAGACAAGTTACTAGTAGAAGTGGCTACAACGTCCTTGTAAGAACGCTGGTCACCAACTTCCTTACGACTTACGGGCGTACCCTGCGCAACAGACACACTGGTCTGATGGTCCTTTTGGACAGCCTTGAGGGTCGAGTTATCAGCCATGCTGGCTAATTCCGAGAGCTCATTGGGAGCCTGTTGTTGACGACCCCCTCCACCAGGAGTGCCAACCTTGGCAGCTTGATTCGCTGCAGGCTTCCTGAGGTTATAACGAAAACTTGTTGATTGTGATTGAGACATAAGAAAATGAGAAAAGGTTTCGAAAATAAATGTTTGTTGGTTATCGAGAAAACGGGTCAATGTCGGATGGCTCAGATGATCAGCCTGAGGGGAATCCAGAGCAACGGCCAGTTGAGGATTGAGAATAGAGTTAGAGTGTAGTTGCTTGTGATGTTAAAAATATGTGGCGAATGCGTGAGGGCTGGCCACACTAACAAGCACTCCAAGTAACAGGGATAGCAACTGTATTGGGGTGAACTAGGGAAAGTCCCTACAGGACGTGGTACAGCGTATATAAGACTCGGGAAGGTACGGTAGTAGCGATAAGAAAGATAGGGAGAGCACGGGAGGTAGCTGGTAGGGATCGTCTCGGTCCGCAGGCCGACTCGTTACAGCTGGGTCGGGGAGCTGTTTCTTTTTAAGTAGTGCTCTGTAGTGCCCCGTAACAAAAACAATCATATAATTAATCATGATTAAACATAGTGCGGAGGTGCGCCAGCACCGACCAAGACTATTACATCTAGCACTTCGAAGCGAGCACCCCATGTGAGCCGGACGAAGGAGGCTCACATGCGAATGCATGTTATGGAGAGGGGAAGCACCTGCTAGACCCCATCCGGATTAGCATACTTCGAGCCAAAATCGTACTGGATGTTCAATGACCATTGCAAGCAAGGTGATCAGATACATTGTTCTTACACCTTCGATTGCCAATGTCATCGTGATGAAGCAAGATGAGTGTGGTAGGTGGGGGAAGTCGGGGGATGATCTGAAGGGAATAAGCTGAGGAGGCCTGACGGCTGCGATAGCTTGGTGTACACTGGTGTACATGTAATGTCAGTTCGATCAGGCCCTCGAAAGTTTCAATTACCTGCAACCAGCCTGCAACTCAGGCTACAAGACACCGAGCGGGGGAGAGACCGATTGGCCGTTTTGTCAGGGGCATCGCTATGATAAAATGGAAGAAGTGAGAGGAATGTGCCACTTTGCCATCGATGATGACGAAAAAGAAATCAAATCCGTCCTTCTCATCAACAAACCCCTGGCTCATCTGGCTCATCACCTTCTCTTTGAGGCACTCTGTAGCAGTCATTCTTTCAAATTTTCATAGTTTCTCATATTTTCTTCCTACCCACTTACAACGTTTATTTCATCCTTTTCTCTGACTAGAATATTTGCTACACTCTCGCTCATCCCGATTCCAGCTTCAAGCATGCCCTGGAGGACAGGTTCTCGAATGGAGATGTGGCCTGGCCCGTGGACGCCTCTAATCGATACTGGGCGCGGGGTAGAAATCGACTCAACGGCCCCATCTAAAACGGCCAATGCTGCAATGGCAACTGGTATACCAACCGAACGGGCCATTGCGGATTCGTAGAACCGCTCGTTCTGAGTATAATTGTGGTAAGATCCATAAATAACAAGAGATGAGGTATGAAGTTCTTCTTCAGTTTCAATTTCGTCAACGTTGGGGACTGGTTTGTCTGTTGCAACCCTTGTAATGACCTTATGCACAAGCACGACCATATCCCTTTCCCCGTCATCGTATTGGAGCTTATGTGCGAGAAGGAGTGTGAATAGGTCCAGTGGAGTCGTTGGAGATGAAGGGAGGAGTGGCAGGCCAATCCATTGTTGGATGGTGGTAGAAGGTGCACCAGTTTCTGCACTCAATAACCATGTGATAGGATTAGCTAGAGGATCTTCGGTTTTTGTGGAAGAGGACGTAGAGAAAGACAAGGAGGAGGAGGAGGAGGGGCGAGCACGAATTTCGAAAACGACCTCCGTCCAGGCGCGTTCAAGAGCTCGCGCTGTGTGATTCCTGGTAAGAGACGATTCTTCACGGGATTCTGATGAGATTGAGGACAAAGACGAAGAAGAGGATTCGAGGTCAATCGTCCGATCCATATCCAGGAAGCCTTGTTGATGGAAATGAAACATGAGCTCTGCGAAACCTTTATATCTTGTGAACAACAAGAAAAAAAATGTAGTCAGTGAATATCACCGAAGTGATGCAGCACATCTGCGTACCTCAAAGTCCCTCTTAGCACGGTCCTCGTACCATCCGGCAACCCATACATCTCCGCATAAGGCAACGAATCTCGATTTGGTAACCCCTCCAACATTCCTTGAAGCTTACGCAGCTCCCCGTCATGCTCACACTCTCCGAAATCGATATTGGGGAACATATTCTCTCGCGCCAAAATTCCCGTTCCTTTACCAGAAAACCCAATTCCAGGCACCTCGACGATATTTCCCCCCATCTTGTACCTCGCACCATTCAATGCAGCAGTCAACACCCCGCGCGGGCTCCAGCTGAATTTGTAGGATAAAGGGCCGGCGGGAGGATAATCAAGGTTTGCGCCTACGCCGTGCATCGAATTTTCTGCTTGCTCGGGATACCGAAGTAGGTCTGGCTCTGGCAGTCCACCACAGAAACTCTCGAAACTCTTCACTTCCTTTCCCTCCTCCTTCAGCCTCTCCAGCATGGAAATTGCTGAAACGTGGTCTATCCCCGGATCCAGCCCTATTTCATTCAATAACAAGACATTTGCCTGTTGCGCTGCATGATCTAGGCTTCGCATCTCCGGTGAAATGTAGGACGCGGTAACGAGGTGCGTGCGTTGAGCGATACATAGTTTGGCTAAAGGCGGGTGCAGCGGGGCGGGAAGGAGACTGCCGCGTAATCCGGTTGCGTGAAAGTGAGGGGAGAGTGTAAAATATGGAGGAAGGAAAAGCAATGGAGTAGATAAGTAAGAATCGGGTAGGTATATGACCAGAGAAATCGAGGATACTCACCTAATAACGACATCGACATCGCTAACCATCTTCCTCACCTCATCCTCCTCGGCTATATCCACTTGGCGGAATGTCACCATTTCGCGAACGTTATCGGGAATACTTCTTGCTAACCCCTTCAGCCTTTCCAACTCACCACGTTCTTTACCCGCAACGACAAGCACCACATCTTTCTCCTTCATGATCCGCTGCATGATCCACCGAATAGCGGGTCCGGCAACCATACCTGAGCCGAGAAGGAGGATACGTTTCGGATGTTTAGGGTGTTTCGGTGAGGTAGGCAGAGGTGGGAGCGGGGACGAGGGTGGTGATAACATTGAAGATGCAGGAGACGTTGTAAACGAAGAGGAAGAGCCGGATGACAGAGACGACAGGGATCTCTTCGACCCTCCATAGAAGGGTCCAGTCAAATTATCGACAGCAGTAGCGTCTCGCTTAGCACGATACGCGCCCACCTTGGCACCTAAAAACCCTTCCTCGGCGAATCGTCCAGCAAGTCGACCTCCGCAGGCGATAGTTGCTCGTTTAAGAGCGGCTTCCACTTCCTTGATCTCGTCCCGTGTCTCTGCTTCCCTCGTCTCTTGAAAAGCGACATTTTTGACTTCGAGCCCGGAGGCGTACTGCCTAACAACACCCCACAAATATTTCTTCAAGCCGTTTGAGAAATGCTTCGAAGCGTCGACAGGTAAAGAGGCAGGCAGGATGTCTACGGATTGTACGTATACCGGGTTCTTTGGTGGGTTCTGGGAAGTGGAAGCAGGGGAAGAACCATTAGACGAAGAAGAAATGTGCTCCATCTTATAGAATGGCATGCTGAGTGTTGTAGCGTGAGTCACGAATTCAAGGCCCCCCTATACAGAAAGCAAAGTTAACTTTCTATAATGACATAGTAAGAAGAAATTGCGGGTGATAGGTAGCACAAACAGAACATCTCGACGAGAGGAGGAAATATAAATCAATGATAGTTGAACATAGATGTCCACTTACATACGGATCACAGCTAATATCCCCAACGACCGCAAACCTTCCCTTCCTCTTGTTCTCATCCATCTCGTCAATCACATTTCCCGCAGTTTTGACTCCCTCCTCACTCATCATCTTCGGATACCCCGGCGCCCATCCGGCTCCGTTCAGCAAAAGCGTGAGATACGGCGCGATACGAGTAGGGAATATGGAGGTGTAGGAGGAAGGCGAGGTGTGGTAGTCTGAACGGGAGTAGGATGGGGAGAAAGTCGTTGAGGATTCGGAAGTGGGAGATAGAGAATGAGAGGAAGCTAGGGAATCTTTCCGAACGAGATAATCCTCTGGCTTGATACAGACGACGTATAATAAGTCCAATTCGATCCGACTGCCTTTGTGTTCACGGTGCAGAACGAGGTCGGGTAGCTCGTTCACCTCCACAAAGCGATGTGGAAGCTCTGAAAGCATGGAGAGGCAGCCTTGAGAGACATTGCCTGATCTATTGATGAGAGCATGTGAGTGAACGAAGCCTTATACAAGCGAGAGAGAAGACCACACAAACTGAAGCAAGTTCGATGGCGAAAAAAACGAGTTTCTGAAACGTCGCATTTAGACACTCACCCAGTAACACCTATAACACAAGGCCCGAATTGCTCGCCAGTCCCATCCTTCGTTGCCCTGATCATTCCTCCAACGACATCTCTCAAAGCTCTCCTTAGTTCGTCCACACCCGGCAGTGAAGCATCGAGGTCTGGGGTAAAAGGAAGGGTATGCGGATAGGGGACTGATAATGCATCCAAGTCCGAAATCGAAGCTTTTTTCAATTGAGGCTCCCGTGAAGGCGAGGAGATCGTCCTCGTTGCATCCGAAGAGTTCAAATTCTTCGGTAAAGGCAGATGCGGTAACGGCGTCCACAGCCAAGGAGTCTGGATTCCGAATTCGCGGAAGAAATATGCACCGAGGGTGTAGAGGGAGAGAAGTGTGCCTGCCAGACCTGCATGGAAGCCGAACGCAAGAGTTCGTTTACCCGAAGAGGACGAGGTGAGTAGCTCGTAGTCAATTAGAGTTGGTAGACGCGATTCTGAGGATATGGCAGAGGGGGAGGAAGTTTGCGAGGGAAGATCTAATTCCGACTCCAAAAACCGGTCGAGTAAAGCCATGTTATACTCCTGTCCCTTGGCTGTATGTGAGAACATCATATATGTTCTAGCCACCTTCATCTTCTTTGCATCTTTCACGCTCAATAACTTCCCAGGTTCTTCAGTAGCATCACGCATCACCTCCTCGACACCAACCTCTTTGATCCCAAGCAATACATGCGCGTCTCTCAAATCGTCTGTGACCTTCGCTCCTGCTTCCACATAAGCAGAGTCGGGAAATATACGCTTCGAGGAAGGCTGTATGTGGATTTCGAGTGGGTAAGGGAGAAATTCAGGGACAAACGGTGTTTCTGAGCCGGCTGGGTCGTTGGCAGGTTGTGAAAGGTTGGACGTAGAGGCTTTAGCCTTGGGTTTGAGTCTGGACGCTGAATCAGAATGCGAATGTATGCTCGGCGGTGAATCTCTGTTCTCCGACTCGAACTCCATATCCTTGTACCTCTCATTTGCTCTTCTCGCAGCCTCCAGGACATCCTTCACATCTTCAGGCGTGAGCGGTACTCGACGCTCCCAAATTCGCAGAGGGTCTTCGCTGCGAATGCCAATTATCAATGGGCTACAAGTGGCCAAGTGACGACTCAAGTTGGTCCTTCGTGTTGAGGAATGAACGAAGCAACGTAAATGTCGATTGCCAGTGGGCATACTCAAACGTGTTGAACGTTTTGCGGTCCCCATTCTACTTGTTCTGGCTGTCAGCGACAGTTTGAACATCGAGACCGATGCAGTCGGCAAGGTCATGGTGGTTTGTTGCTGTCAGACGAATGAGAATAGAGAGGAACACGTAGGTCAACGATAATGATGGTTGGGTGTATCGAGGCCAGGTTGAAATTGAGGTGCTGCGTGTAGTTGTACGGAAAGAGAGTGCGAGATTATCAATAATGTCATACGATGTTTATTCGGTACGTCAAGTTCGTGGTTCCAATTGGAAAGTATGACCTGGCGCGTAACTTTGATCACTGGTAGAGGTGCGTGGTTGAGACGTTCTACTCACAGTATACGCGTCCAACTGTTCCTTGTAAAGAACCGTCAGTTCACTGAGAAAGAGAAGTACAATCGGAGTACAGTATAAAGGAACTTAAAGAGCATCGACGTTACTGTCAGAGGTTGGTTGAGATCCGACCGGGATCCGAGTACATATTATGTCTCCCGAGTTTCGCCCGAACACAACAAACACCCCCATGTGAGGGTATTGTATGTAGGTGGGGGCAGGTGAGGGCGCAAAGCAATTGTTCCGTGCTGGACGCGTACTCAATAATGCAACATCTTGGTCAATTTCTGAAGCAAAGAATGGGGTTCTTGAATGGAAAATAGAATAAATGCTGCCACAAGCCCTTTGAATCACAATCAGGATCTCCTTCACATCGCCGCTTCAAAGATCTGCATATCTTGGTCAAGCTATCTATTGCAGCCGGGAGGAGTGTAAAGGACCGGACTGTGGGACCATGAAAAGGAGTCCAAGGCAGCCAGAAATGCTGCAAATGAGTACCGTTCAAAATTTCTTTTGACCGTCCCTCTTTAACGAAATACGTTGCCTCCTCAGATAGCGTTTCACCTCTTATCCCTCAACAAAACCGAAAATATTCAATCTCTGAATTCCACAGGTCTTCTTCATTGTCAATTCAAGTCGTCTCATGGAGGAATACCAAAAAGTACAGGTCCTGCAATTGTGGATTTGCTTTCATTAGGCTAGTGACATCACTGGATCGAGGAAAAATACACCGCCAGTATCAGCAGAAGAGAGAGAAACCGAGTTAGCAATCGTTGAATGATATCTGCGCATAACATAAATCAGGCGGCATTCCGTTATACATGCAAACGGCTCGAGCAGGAGAGTCCTTCTTTTCTAGTCTAGCTTCCAAAACCATGCGTTCAGAGGCTGTCAACTCTTTACATCTCTGCTGCTTCTAAATCCAGTCTTCATCCACCATTCCTTATTGTCTACCATGTCAAGGGTTCTCTTCCCCTCTTTCCAATGACCTGACTGTTTTCAAAGGTGAATGAGTTACCATATTGCAGTGAGTGATACCGGCTGAATAACCAACCTGCACTTTTCCATTTTGAAATGTCAAAACAGTCTCGTACGTTTCGCGCGCATAGTATCGCTCGCGATAAAGTTGGCCTGAAAGTATTTTCGCTCTTTCTCGAGGAAACTTCTCATTGAAGTTTTTAGCATATTGGATGAATGCATGATATGCACCACGGATACTTGGATCAAACCCATGCCGCATGTGGAATGTAATCAGGTATCCAGTAGAATAAAGGTCCTCAGAATCGCCTGCATATCCTCTGCCCGGCGCAACCGCAAACTTTAGTTCAGGAGGATGTGATTCCGTGATTCCAAGCGAATCCACGATGATTTGAAGTGCCTCTCCAAGTATATTTGGATTTGCAGCGTCAGGCCCATTGATCACCGGTTCATAATCATATTTAAGTAGCAGAACTTTAGATGGATGCTCGTTTCCGCGTGTCGTCTAAATAACAAGTCAATAACTGAGAGTGTACACTACTAGATATTACCAGTCAAACGATTTGACCGTTTTCGGGAATAATCTAGCAGATGAATTCGAGGCGCACCGTATTACCGCTACCAGCACCAATAAGTATGGCAGAAGCAGTCCTCGTAAAGTATGTAATACCTGAGAGGGCAGACAAGCACTGTCTTATTACGGAAGCGAGAAGCATGACACCAAGAATATTTTTGACCAGCAAAAAGGTTGGGTAGCAAGAAGAATGAGATGACCGATCGACCAGCGGTGACAATGGAAAAGAAAATGAGCTGGACTACCGCCAAGTCCTTCACTTGTCTCAACAAAAACCCCTCATCACAGCTTATCACCGGTCACCAGCGCGCCAGCGTTCACCTCAACCTTTTCACAATCGAGGGTTATTTGAACAGGGATAAACTTGATCTAACCTGATATTACATGACACTGTTGTTTCAGGTGGTTTCATGGCTTTTCATAGACGAGTATCACAAACACCAATTTTGCAATTGTGTTTGCTGTCATCACTAAATCAACGAAAAGAAATGAGAGAATAACGCCAATGTATCAGCGTGAGGGAAGAGCTGAAGTAAAATGAAGCGCAGACCGTTGAAAATCATCGCAACAGGTGAATACGTCTCTGACTACGGTGCAGAAGACAGAAATCGATGCATTCCGTTATGTATGAGCGGCTCGAGCAGACATCTGCCAGGAGAGTACTTGTCTATCCATCATCGAAACTGTGCGGGATACAAAACACATGTCGCTGATTATTCAATCAAGAAATCCGTTGATGTAACATTCATCCACACTGATCTCCACCGACCCTTGTTATCTACCATATCATTCGTTTATGTAAAGCCGGAACCCTCCAACAGAGTACCGAATACCGTACAGCATCAATGTCACATGGAAAGCACCTTACATTTATCTTCAACCCAGTGTCCTAACTGCCCGAAAGATCCCTCCAGGTCTTCTCCTCTCCACATCAGCAAGTATGGCAACAGGGACAGGACAGCTCGATTTTGGCCCGCCGGCCATCAATATTTCAATGCCGACCAAGGACCCCATCGTCTTGTGTTATCACGTGCACTGCACGGCATAACTTCTTTCTTTCGCGTTGTTTTGTTGATCGGTCCAAATAATTGCTGCCATAAATTCACTATCATTACTTTCCTTCTTTCTTTGGGGCTGGTCTGAACCATGCTCATCAGGCTTGATGTGTCGTCCGGCGGACCTCCATGCTCATTTGCGATAGCCTGATGAGTATTCAAAGAGTGCCTGTTTGGTGTCACTGGACATCAAGGCAATTACGGCGAGGACATTAAAGAGCTCTACTACTACCATGAATCAACTCCTTCCCACTCATACATGAGATTCCTTTACAAATACCCTCAACGCCGCTACCTGTCATGCCTCGACCATTATCCACAGCCCTCTTAATGGTGACTACCAGGACAGCCCCAGTATCAGCCATACACTCTCACCCCTCTGCACTGATCCACGCCCGTACCTCCCCAAGACAGTATCATCTTTAGTATCACCTCCCCCCCTGTGACACGAGTAGCTCCTAAACCTCCCCCGACACGCGTTTGAAGCCCTCCTACACCTACCCCATTAAGGTACTAATCTCGATTACATGCCTCATGGCCCCTGATGTTCCCTTGTTCACTTCCTGTACCTATTTAAGTAGCTCTGATATGTCCCCAAGCCCCAGCTTGGTATATTTTGAACACACACCCTTTTGCATAGGTCCAGTCCCTGTCCCTTTGTACCTGCTAACCATATGGATTTCTCTTTACTCTCTGTTTCTCTACCTCTGTTTCTCTTTACTCTCGTCTATTGTCTCTCTGATCGTCTATACGATCGAATATACGCTTTTACTTCAAGTCTAAGCCTTCCGAGTGAGTCCCCAAGCTCCCTCGAATATTACTAAAGCTCCCCAACGCCTACACGCTTTGGTGAGCTACCCTACCCCAAACCTCCCAGAGCTCCCTAGCTACTTCGTAAGCTTCGGGACCTCGATCTAGGTAACGTCGAAGCTACCCCTCACGTCGAACTACGTACCGCTTCTCCGTTACCACCTCCCACACTTGAGGACGTCCATCCTCAAGCCCATCCCCCAGGGACCTACCCTCCCTGGCATATCCCTTCTCAGGAGCTTACACCCTTGAGACCCATTTACATATACGACCTACTCAATCCTATATTGATGTTCTAGCGAGTACAACTCCTACTATGCAATATCGTACGGTCCCGCACTCTTCCCTAACCTCCCTATGCCTTAGGGACCTCCCTGGACCTCGTAGGAATCCCCTCAAGGGTCATCATCTCGTCATCCCAACCACTACTAGGTCATTCCCGTCCTTGGTCGCGGTTCTCGTAGCTCCCTTCGAGCTCCAGCCTGCTCCTAGCACGCTACAACATAAACCTCCATATACCAAAACCTACCCTAAGACCTATTTTAACCCAGGTCTTACATTATACCAAGCTCTCCCATCACCGAATGGACTCGTCGCGACAAAATGTCTGCGATGTCAACAGAACAACCTTCTAGTTCCAAGATCAAAGCAAAGAAACAAAAGAGCGCCTTATCTCGTGGAAGCACGACACAAGCTCAAAAGTCTAACCAGGCTGCTAGCTCCACTGTCATCACAGTGGCAGCTGGTCAACACCTGATGTCCATCCCAGAACAGTCGTTTGGGGATGAAACCGCTAGCAACGTCCGGACCCCCGAGGGACGTCAACCGGCGGTTGAGGAGCCCCCTCCAGTGGAACCTGGGATGGGACCACCACAACGGAGGTATACCTCCATGGGTTATGCCCAACCTGCCAGTAGTCCCATGGGAGGTTTCGCCTACTCCCCTACCCGGGGAATGAGAGGACCTCCCCCTGGACCGGTACTGCAGCTAGACATGGAGTCAGCTTCGAACGCGGGTGGAAGAGTCAGTGGCTAAGTAGCCGCTATTGAAAGGATACAAGAGGAGAGTACTGACCCTCTCACAGTACGACAACAGGAGAAACTTCCAGAGAGGAGGGTATCCCCTGCCGTATCCGAACAGTCTCGGGCATCATCCCGGAGGTTACCAACCCCCCCAGTACAGTCCCTTAACCTTCCTCCCCCGAGACGAGGAAGTTCACTCTCCAGTCTCCTGAAGAGCCCAGCTATGAATATGCCCAACCGGGAGCGTACACACGCAATACACCATAGCAGGACCAACTTCCCAGTACAACCGTTGTCTGAAATGACATTGCGTCTGGAAGACGTCATTCGAATTCAGGAGTGTATCCCGGAGAATGTAGCTATGGTCCTAAGGGAGGTATTGGAGTCGATGGGGATTGGAATATTGGGAGACGGTCTCGAATTCTCAGACCTACGGGTACAGTTCCTAACGGTGGGAACTCAACTGGAAATAGACCTTCCAGAGAAGGCCCAGCGGTGGCTGATGACCCCAGCAAATCAATCAGACTTTCTCTGGTTGTACAACGTCCTGTTGGACCCAGAGAGGATGTTGGAACTGTTAGAGGCAGAGGCACGTTATGGGCGATCGTTCCGAAACTCGAGGGGAATACTTCCCCTCCTCCCTCATACCCATGGAAGGGAGAAGGAATTCTGTGGAGAAGCGGGGCTGTGTATATTGTACCGAGCATCTAACTACAGATCAGGAGCTGTACGATTCGAACCTCCCCCTTCGAGGGTTAACATCCTGAACTACCAGGTGATCCAAATACTTCGGAATGCAAACCTAGCGGCGGCAGCAGCTAAAATCGATGAGGAAAGTAATGAGGATGCTAACACAATCGCTGCAAAAAATCATAGATGCAGGAGATACACCACAGCTCACCTCCTGGCCCCAGTGGAGTCGATGCCTGATCAGGATAGCCCTGTCCAGGTCCGTAGTGGACAGACAGTGTACACGTACACGCCCATGAGGCATATGCACCAGCTTGGTGAGGAGTGAGGAGTCTGAAGCGATGTTGTGCTCTCAGGAGACCCGACACCAGACGTTACTAGCGGAATCAGACACTCTGATGCTGTCAGAGGAACTTTCTGGATCGAATCTAGAAAGGGCCTTGGAATTTCGTCGCAGACTGGTCGCGGATAATCGGGGAACCTCGTACATGGTTCAATGCGAACCAGAGAATGTAGGGGAGTTCCCTCTGGAGCAATTTGACCCAAAAAGGCAGCTCCATGGTTCTGATGGTCATTTCCGGGGACAGAAACATTCATCGCCCAGGAATAATGGGGTTCCTGAATTTCTTAACCCTGGTAACACGGCCACGAGGAGCCCCCAATTACGCTCGGGAACCTCCCCCACTGTACATGCCTTGGCTCAAAATTCGACTCCTCCCCCCAGAGTTAACCTGCAAACGAAACCGGTAACTCCAGTTTCGACGCAGCAATACCAGTTTGGCGAGGTAAGGATGGATGGCGAGCAACATTCATCCCGGATCTCCAGACAAGATCTGACAGCTCGGCTGGTTCCCAACCCTGTACACGTTCCTCCAAGACTGAGCAATCCATCAGTCGTGCCCTATCAAGGGTTGGTATCGATGCAGTCTCAGGCAGTGGGGACGGAGAATCAAAGGGTTCTGAACCAACGAAGAATGCTGGCTGTGCACGAGGAGGTGGTACCCCTGCAGGGAGCTCCTTTTGGAACTCCCTTTGTAACGGGAGCTCAGACAAACCAATCTGGCATGGCTGTTGAATCGGCACACTCTCAAGAGTCGGTAGTAATGATCCAACAACAGGCTCGAGTCATTGAGATGCTTCAGGAACAACTCCAGGAAGTAAGGAAAGGATTCGCAGCAGGGGGAATGCCGACTGAGGGACTGCCTCCCAAAACAGGAAACACGGCGGGATTATTCGGGCAAGTGCCCATGGAAATGATAGAGAACACGAGGAGGGGTCCATCTCCTGCAGTTCCTCAACCAAGAAGTTGGCAGGACCGACTCTGGATCTAGTACTGCCACCACCTCCGACTTTCCCACGCTATCTGGGGGACAATACGAGGCATCGGAAGGCATAGGCACTCAGATTAGAGTAATTAACTTCTACTTCATCTAAAAATACAACAAATTACATCTGAAATGTCACGAAACGCGTCGAATTCGTCGAAAGAGCCACCGCCAGGACAGCAAAAACTGGGCTTTCACCCGACACAACCAGTCAGGAATCCAATGACACCAGCGAGCCCAGCTGTCAGCACCAATGGCGATGATGACCAGCGAACACTTATAGCGAAGGCAATAACCATGAAGCTCATGGCCTCAGATGAAGACTGCACTGTTGTCTTACCAGTCAAACTCGTGAAGCTGGCCGCAGCTGCGAAAGATGGCAAAACAAAAATTACCCAAGGTGACATGTGGGAGAAGGTCGCACTCATAGGGAAAATCTTGCAGGAATGCTCCTTCCATGACCGAATGAAGCACTTCAGAGATGAGCTAATAGAGAAGATGGAAGAACATTTCGACGATGAAACATGCAGGCTGGAAGGAAGGGTTAAAATCATGAGGAAGGAAGCGGAGGACGCATCGAAAGCAGCAGAGAAGTTGAAAGAGAAGATGGAGGAACTTGTGAAGGACCTGGAGGCACGAGGAAATACAGTTCGAGAAGAAATGGTGGTATCAGAGGACAGGGAAGTTACGCAGACAAACAACAACCGACTTTCATATGCGACAGCAGCACAAGCAAAGTCAGTGGCGCAACATATACAACAGCCTCGACACAGCCCAGCAATACGCGACGCAGAGATGAGGGACCGGAGGATCATAATAAAGTCAGATGTGGAATCTGACTGGAAACTGACAGAGAAAGAGATAGTGACCAAAGCAAACCTCGCGATGGATAAAATGCTGGATGACGAGGGTGTTGGAGCAAAGATGAAGATCATGGCGGCAACGAAGATTCGAGGTAATGGCGCCTTCCTCCTCATGGGCTCAGTAGCGGAGGCAGAATCAATGAAAGTTGGTGATCGTCTGGTCCGCTTCTGTGAGGCATGGGAATCGAGTGCCATATTGAGGCCAAACTACCATGAAGTGGTAGTTGAATCTCTGCTAGTGGAAACCATGATCGAGAATGCTTACGAACGATCATGCATTGAAAAGGCTAACAAACTACCAGCTAACTCCATAGCACAGATTTGCTGGATCAAACCAATCGAAAAAAGACGCAGTGACCAACGATATGCGCATGCAATATTCTCGATGAACAGCAGAGAAGCAGCCAATAAACTCATCCTTCATCAAGCAATAGTGGGCAGTAAAGCTTTACGAGCACGCAAGAACAAGTCGGACCCTCATCGCTGTGCAAAATGCAATGTCTTTGGATATATTGCTGAACAGTGTAAGGTAGAACACGACTCATGTGCGCGCTGTGCAGGACGACATAGGACGAGCAGTTGCACAGCGCCAGATGACCAACTACAGTGCGCGAACTGCAAAACACCAGGACATGGAGCCGCCAGCAGAGACTGTCCCCACTTCATCCGAAAACTGAAAAAACGAGTGCAGTGGGAACCAGAACGAGCATATGAACTATTCGTAACGAGGGATCCAGAAACTTGGGTCCGAGACGATGCTCCTCTCAAGGAGGATTTCAATCAAGGATGGAGGCAGGAAGTTGCGAACAGTTACAACACTTGGACTATAGTGAAACGGGGCAATGGACAAGGATGATTAGCGGGAGGCAAACCCGGCCAGGGCGGGGGTGTTCAGAGATCGCAACCAATTCGCGGCAGAAGTTCTAGGCCAAGGACATCTCAACCACCAACAGGACCACCACAGGCTACACTCCACTGATACAACTTCTCACAGTCGCGACTGCCAACTAGCCAACTACATTTACGTCCCGCCCAATCGCCAACACATCATGAACCATCACAGCGATGGGGCGACACTGCAATCCCCGGCAGTCAGGCATCCAATGGCACGGACCCATGATAGATACACTGGTAACCAATAATATTCAGGAACAGTTAACTATTCTACAGCTCAATACTAATAAATCAGATAATTCCATGCACGACTTCCTCCGTGGCACTAATGCTGACATATTTGCCATACAGGAACCTTACATTGACTCCAAGGGAAGAACTAGATCATTGCCCCACTTGAGAGTAGTATACCCCACCGGACACGTGGAACACTTTGGAGACTCAGACCGACCCAAGGCCCACTCTCTCATAATGATGCACACGCATATACAAACGAAACGATGGACACAGCTGAATGTTGATAGCCCAGACATCACAGCTATCCAGGTAGTCACTGATATTGGAACGATCCGGATATTCAACATCTACAATGATTGCGAACATGATGACACACTACAGGTACTTGAGGAATGGATGTGTACATCGGCGGCCAATACAGCAACGGATGGACCGGTACACTATGTATGGCTCCGAGATTTCAATAGACATCACCCGCTATGGGATGAGATGAGAAACCATCACCTTTTCACTGCACGTAACCTTGATGCTGCCCAAACGCTAATATCGCTTACAGCACAGTTTGGTCTGAACATGGCACTGCCTGGATCCATACCCACCTTACAGGCACATAATTCCGGCAACTACACCAGAGTCGACAATGTCTTCTGTACCGACACACTCCTCGAGTGCGCAGTCACATGCAACACGGTACCCTCCTTACAACCTATGCTCACAGATCACCTTCCTATATGTACAACCTTTGACATCCGCATACCAATAGTGGATCAACGAGAACGGTGGTGTTGGGCGAAGGTCAACTGGGACGACTTCCAGAAACGGCTGAAAGAACTCCTGGAAACGCTAGAACTACCAAGCGAATTAACCACAGAGACGGACTTTTGGAGAGCACTACGGGAATTTGATGAAGTCACTACAAAGGTCATAGCAGAACTCATACCCAAAGCAAAACCCAGCCCTTACCAGCGCCGGTGGTGGAACGAAACCCTAACAGCAATGAAAAGACGGACTAGCGCCCTATCGGGAAAGTCACATCGACACCGTTTTGAACGAGACCACCCTGTCCACGAGGACTTCTGAAGAACACGCCAGGCATACTCGGCAGAGTTGAAACAGGCCAAAATCAACAAATGGGTTGAATACCTGGAGGAAGCAACCACGAGCTCGGTATGAGAAGTGGGAAGGTTGATGGAAAATGGATATATGGATGGGGGTAGGACAAGAATCCCGGGATTAGTAGTCTCCGAGACAGGCCAAAACAGAGTGGTGGAAGACAACGTCGGGAAAGAATTTGTATTCCGTGGATCCTTCTTTCCTCCTCCTCCACACACTCCAAATGTCCCAGAAAGCCCCATATACCCTCCCCCAGCCTGGAACTTCACGCCACCCACAAACCGTCAGATTCTTGCTGCAATCCATCGCATGAAAAACGGCAAAGCCACAAAACCAGGAACAATCCCAAATGACCTTTTCAAAGCTACTGCGCAACTGATAGTCCCATTCTTAGGACCCATCTATCACGCCACATTCACACTCAAAATCTACCCAGACGCATGGTCGGCAACAGAAACAATAGTGCTTAAAAAACCAGGACGGCCAGACTACCAAGACCCAAATGCGTGGCGCCCAATCACCCTATCTAACGGACACGGGAGACTAATGAATGCTTGTATTGCAGAGGAGATCACCAAACGAGCAGAACTCCTTGGCCTCCTCCCAGCTATGCAATTCGGAGCACGGCCTGGACGTAACACAACCGACTCGATCCATCTAATGATCGATCAGATAAAAGAACTCTGGAGAGAAGGATATTTGGTGACAGTCCTGTACATGGACGTCAAGGGAGCATTCCCAAGTGTAGATCTCGACATGCTCAACCACGAACTCCAGATGGTTGGCATACCGAAGGAAATACTAGGCTGGATACAAAGACAATATGCCCAGCGCAAAACCCAACTCTCTTTCGACGACTACATCTCCCTGCCCTTCAGTGTTCCAGGAGGCGAGGACCAAGGAGATCCTTTTGCAGCGGTTGGATACATCCTCTATGCGGCTGGTCTACTTCGACTTGTTCAAGCAGAGAGTAGAGAACAAGGTTTTGGTTTCATGGATGATGTCGCAGGAATGAAATGGGCGAAGGGAGTGGATGAACTTCATGCGGAAATAGGTGATATGATGAGCAGAGAAGGCAGGGTTCTAGACTGGGCAACAGCACACAACTGCCATTTTGGCGTCACAAAGTTTAAATTGGTTGACTTCAACAGATGTAGAATCCCACATCCCACGGAACCCAAGAAGACTGCCCCAGTCACAGGACTGGGGGTGAAGATACATGACACGCTAATCAAATCGGAGGCATACGCAAAATTCCTCGGAGGACTAATGGACCGACAATTACGATGGAACGAGCACCACAGCCTGATGGTCAAGAGGGGACAGCTATGGGTCTCACAATTCCGAAGAGTAGCATGAATGAAAGACGGCATGGTAGCGCAGTTGGTGCGACAGCTCTACAAGGCAAAAGCCTTACCCCAGATGCTCTATGCAGCAGACATCATTCTAGCCCCGCCGTCGAGGAAGAAAGAAAAGAAGTGGACCCAAGCCACCCCCATGCGGGGAATCATTCGCAAGCTAACCTCTATACAACGTCAGGCAGCCCTAATGATTTCGGGAGCAATGACCACCACAGCGACTGATATCCTCGACATACATGCAGCACTCCTCCCACTACCCCTTGAAGTCGAACGCCACCGTCACCGCGCGGCTGTGCACCTCTTAACACTACCAACTGAACATCCACTATCAGAACGAGTAGAGAATGCAGCACGAAACAAGCGAAGAACGAAACACCCATCACCACTCATAGACCTAATGGGACGATACGGTCTACATCCAGCAAAAATGGAGAAGCGCAGAGCAGTGAGGTTCGAGGCACAGTGGGACCCTAAGCTGGTCATTCAGATCTGGGAAAGCAAAGAAGTGGCACTTAGAGCGCTTCGAGATGATGATATTAGTATTAAAGTTTTTACTGACGGCTCTGGTTACAAAGGCTATATAGGTTCTTCTGCAATACTTTACAGGGATGGGCAGGAGGAAAGCGCGATCCGCTATCGACTAGGTTCAGAGGAACATCACGAGGTTTACGAAGGAGAATGTATTGGCATGATACTGGGCCTACACCTAACACGAGCACAAGAGTCGGTGACAGCTGTGTCCATTTGGGCAGACAACACAGCAGCCATCACTGCGACAGACACGAGCAAAACAGGACCATCCCATTACATCCTTGACATCTTTCATCACACTCTAACGGCCTTGCGAGCACAACACCCTGATGCAACTGTCACAATATCCTGGATCCCAGGACACGTCGGAGCAGAGGGAAATGAACAAGCTGATGAAGAAGCAAAGAAGGCGGCGAGTGGACGCTCAAGCCGAAAGGAACGACTTCCCCCACAGCTTCAACGCCCTTTGCCTCACAGCCAGACAGCAGCCATACAAACCTTCCGTCGCAAACTCGAAGAAAAACACAACGAGCAGTGGAAGAAATCACCACGTTACGCATACTTCCAGCGCATCGATCCCTCTGACGCAACTACTGCAAGCAGGAACTATTGGAAGCTAGCACGATGGCTCCCACGAAAACTTCTCTGCATCCTAATGCAGTTACGGACAGGTCACATACCACTACAACGACACCTACACCGAATTGGCAAAGCTGACTCTCCGACATGCCCCTGCTGCAAACATGGGAACTGTCAAGTCCATGCCTCGGGCCTCCATTCCGCCGCTCGGTACTCCAAAGATCCACCCTTATTGTAATCTTACTCTTATTGTTCTTTCTCGCTACACATACCCTTTCGTTCTAGTCCCTTCTTATTGTCTTTTACTTTACCCTGCAGGTACTACTCGTATAGCTCCTAGTAGTTAGTCTGGCGCTCCGCACTGATGCGCCATTCCGTAGATATAAATACTGCCTGTACGCTACTGTAGTTCCTCAGTTTAATTATCAACTTAGATCTCTCTTCCAACTTAGCTCTTCTCTAAGTCTTCAGGCTCAACGCCTTGGAGTACTCTCTACTATAACCTTAGGACTTAGATGTCCTCTGGTTCGCTCCTCGTCACCGGCGATACTGCCGCTCCGACTTGGCTGCTCCTCAGTTCATCCCTTCTCTACTCTCGATCTCTGGGGACTAACGGTGTAACGGCGGTGTTGTTAATAACTTCACTACTGTCCCACTCGTCTTCCGCACTTAGACACCTTGTGGCTTTGGCACGGTTACACGATGTACATGATCTTAACAGGAACGAAACAGTTACGCACTACTTGTTTGAGTGCCGCGCGCACCGACAAGCATGAGGCCATTTGCAAAGAAAGCTCGCTAATGATCGATGGTCTATAGGATCTCTGCTATCCACAAAAAGCTCCCTACCACATCTCTTCCAATACATCAATGACACGAAACGCTTTCACCATATTATTGGAGAACTACCGGAACTCGACGATGATGATGAAGACAGAACCTAGCTGAACAGTAATGACGCCCCGAATGCCCACCCAAATGCCCCACATCTACCCTTACCTTTCAATTTACTTATGATTTCACCTCTTTGATCCCCCATTGACACTACACTACATTTTCAATTCTTCCACATACAGCACACGGACTTCACAGATACTTGTGCCCTCGATGGAAACCCGTCATGGCTTCCTACGCGGAACCAGACTATGTTGAATAGGCTACATTCACCATGATATTTAAACAAAGACGACAATACCTACAGTAGAGTATACACTACCATATGCTCCCGCACAACGGTAACGAGCTTGCCTTGTTTTTGTGTGAAAGAGAAAGGAAGGAATCTAATGGGCACTCCAACCAACCAATCTAATACACAATATGCGAGTTCACTGCTATCAAATTTATTTAATAGCAAGGGGTAGCGTTGGCAAAGGTTCCGCAAAGCTTTGAGAGCTAAGTACGAAGCTTTGATCAATCAATTTGAATCGTTCTAAGGATTCAATATATTCCTTTGATCAAGGTAGATTCAGCACGATTTGTGCTTTGGTTTGTATTGATTTGGGTATATCAAGAATTGGGGGTTTGAATCAAAGTAAATTAAAACCGAAACACACAGACCCCTACGGAGGGCTAGAACTATATGCTGGCACAACCACACAGCGTGATTTGCCCTTAAGACCAACAACTGATCCTAAGTTCGAAGAATACCCAACAACTGGATAGACTTCTTGCAGTCACAAGGAGCAGAACACGACGTTCCTATACTCACAAGTGCCGGGCCCGAATGGCTGCTAGCGAAGAGGTTTCAGTCTGGCGGGAGTGTGTCTTTCCTTTTTACGGATTAGCACTGCAACGTCGTCCCAAAATCACTTGTATTCCAGATACATCGGATCGCTATTTATACATACAGAATATAGAGTCGCATAGTACAATTAATTTAATACAATAAACGTTCGGAACCGCAAGGAAACTTCTACACTCAGTCAGATACCATTTAATTTGAATCTACATGTCCTTATTTGGTCCATATTGGTTCTAAGATTCTAGTATACCTCCAAACATAGGTAGGTACTTCAATATTCATTTAATTTAATTGTTTTTGGAGGATGACTCGAATGATGTTCAACTGTCATTGCTGTTCAACACTTACTTCGATCGTTTGTCACCTCGTCCGGAGGCAAATCAGCTCTCCTCGATTCTAATCCTATCAATCTGATTCATCTGGATTAAACTAATTGCTTCTCTCTTTCAACAGACACCCATTGTGCCTATACTCTATCAAGGGAGTTACGCATAGTATTCATTTAATTGCATTCTTCAATATTTTCTACGTCAGGACTCTTTTGACATTCATTTGATATGTCTTCGGAGCCTCGCAGTACTTCGATCGTTCTTCTAGTCATTTTCCTCAACCATGCAACTTGATTGGTCTATTAGACTAAATCGCAGTCTTTTTAGATTAATGCATGATCTCGTTCTAGAAGGAGTATTTGATAATTCCTGAGTTCTAGAAAGTCATTTCGAGTCAATCCTCGGTTCATGGTCACTTGAGTAAGTTCTTCCAAACTCCTGCCAGTGTAAGGTCCAATAAGAATACCCTTGGTATGTCATACGTGAATGGTCATCCTTTGGATGTAGTCCGAGTCTGGTATAATCCTGCTTGACAAACAGGTAGACTGCTATCCGTAGGTAGTATCGGGGATGGGTAAACTAACCAACTTGTGGTAGTATGGGTATATGGTCCCTTCAACTTATTAGACTGATTCAGTATTGACTTTGACTGTCAATCTGGGTCTCAATTACAGTCCTCTTGATACAAATCTATACGTGAAAATGTCACAATTCACAGCATAGACGTCTAGCCAAAATTTAGGCGTGTCAACGGTGTATAAACAGGATTCAAAAAAAAAGAAAAAAAAAAAAGAAGTTGGCAAGCTACGGAGCCAATTCCCTTTACCAGACGAACTCCTATGGGAGTTAGGGAAGGGAACCCTCAGGAGAGACAATCAGCCCCGCTACCTGTCACCCCGAGTGTGGACAGGAGGCGTATTCAGGAATGGGGAGCTCGCGTGCAAAAAGCAGAGCTCGGGGAGTATGTGAGACCGGAGGGAGGAAGGTACGCATTGGAGGACGGTGGGATAGCTGCGAGTGGAGGAGACAGAGGAGGGTTTAAACCCCCTAACAGAGCACCTCCCCCACACCTTTCAAATCACTCGAGAGATCAAGAAAGACCCCCAAGCCAGGGCGAACGGGATCACCGGGGACAGGTAGGAAGGAGCGGGGGAGGCGCCCCCCCTCCACCACCACCCTCGGGAGGACCGGGTGATAATGATTCCGAAGGTTCCAATGAAGGGGAACACACTGGGTCAAGTAGGGAGGGTGGAAGGAACGAAGACGACAGGGGGGAGCTTCCCACTGGAGCTCCTGAAGTACCTCCAACACGCTACGACCCGGACCAACCCTGGTACTACGATCCAAGACAAGGTTGGCACCGTAAGGCAGCTCCTAGACCTCCCAACGAGGGACGGAATACGTGGGAGAGCAACGAGGAAAAAAATCGGATTACCATCGAGTCGAAGCTCGACGTCGGCAAGATCGAAAGCTTCGCAGGTGACGACCAGTCTGCATGGAAGACGTGGGTCCTCAGTTTGGAAAGGATGTTTGGAGTACGTTCTACCATCTATGCTCGTGAAAAGGACAAGTGCGCTTCGGCAGCCAGCCACCTCACTGGTGCAGCACTCTCCCACTTCGACACGTTGAATCGGCAACGACTGAGGGGGGAGTACACCTGTCTCGAAGACTGGACAGAGTTCAAACGAGAATTTGGTTCCAAATTCGGACCCATCGACGAGGCGGACGAGGCAAGGAGGAGATTGGCCTGGATGAAGCAGATGCCGGAGGAAAGCTTCGCCAACTTCTTCATTTGCTTCAACGAATACGCTCCTCTGACTGGGTTTAACGACGAGGCTCTGGTAACATACCTCAAGAAAGGGGTAGCTCCCTGGTTGCCTCTACAGGTTGTTACCGGAAGGGAAGAACCTCGATCCTACGACGAGTGGACCCGAGTGTTCACAAAGTTGGATGGAGCTGTACGTGCGCAAGCGGAGAGTTTGAGGAACCTCCATGGTGAAAAAGCGCTGCAAGGATGGCTGAGTCGCTTCTCTGGGTTGGAGTTAGCACCTGAAGCTCCTTACAAGTCCCCCTTGCGTCGGGAACGAGATCCAGCTGACGTCTGGACCTCCAATCCAAAACCAGCTGTGACGGGGAGGTTCCAAAACAGGTCCAACTGGAAAGAGGGACAACAGAGGGCGTCCGCAGCTTGGGGGGAAGAAGAAAGTTACGATAGCGAAAACCGAGAGGAAGACGAAGATTGCTGCCACTGCAGGGATGGAGGAGAATGGACTGAAGCGGTCCTCCGGGCAGGAGTTACTGATACTGGGAGGAAATGGACTCCTGAGGAAAGAGTGGAGAAGTGGAGGAGACGAAGGCAGGAGCTCTGCATGCGTTGTGGACGAAAGGAGCATTGGGCAAAGGACTGCCCTAACCCGGAATCGTTAGAATGTCCAGCGGAGGATCAAGGGAGCTCAGAGAGAGCTTCCAAGGCCAATTCAACTCGAGGAAGAGGGACGGCCAATCAAGGGGGAGGTCGTAAGGACAATTCAACTCGTCCTTTAGAACGGATTCGCGCTGGGATCGTGGTGGAAGAACGGGAAGGAATGGATGATCTCTGGAACGTTCACATCTTAGACTCACCAAAGGGAGGTGAGCAAGAACTGTTGGATGAAGTGGGAAATGGGCAGGGGGCTTCGAGGTAGATCAGGGCGAACTGCGAAGCCCCGCAACACCTTCGCCTACCACAATAAGAGCTGCACTCGCGGGGAGTCAGCCAGCTCGTCTCACATCCCGATCCTACAACTCCTTCATCATCCTTACACGCTTTCCGTTCTCCGACCTTGATGAAGACAAAGAATACGCCACACTAGTGGATAGTGGAGCAACTAG